AGTTAGAATTTTAAAGTAGTTCTGTTGTTTTTTAAAGCTTTTTAAGTCACTGGCTACTGGTAACACTTAATAGTCATGAAGTGCTTTCTCGTGCCATCGCCGTTAGTGATAGGTCTCTTCTGATCTTGAGCTTTAATGATAACACAGGTAAAATACAGACAAACTCTCCTACATAGTAAAATTATACATACATTTACTCTGTTCTAAATCTACCTTAAACTGGTATCTTTTTTCTTCCAGCAGTTACCACTTCTGCTGCTTGTCCTTACCCTCCTCGACTGCACATGCCTCCTTCTCTGTATTACCCTGCTAAATTAAAAGGAAAATGAGGTGCCTGAACCGTGCCCCTCCTGCTGCTCCCAACAACAGTCCCTGATTCTGAGACTTGCTTCCTTTTGGGAGCAAAAAGTAATTACGAGTATGGAAGTGTAAAGTCCGGAGTAATGGTTCCTTAGTGCAGCGGCTGTGTGTGCTGTGCCTAAGAGGAAGCAATCTGCTGACCTTGAAGTTTCCTGAGGGTTTTTGGGAGGGAGTAGAAGCCATCAAGGAAGAAGTGAATCATTCTTTAATTGCTGGGTTTTCTAAGCTTCTGCTACTGTCTGTACTGGCGGTCTGAGATGGGCACGAGGGTTGAGTGGTTGAGAGTAAAATCCTTCCTCCCGTTTGCTCTCCCCGTGCCACTTCAGTCCTTCGTGCAGTGCCGTGCCATACCTGTGTGCAATATTTTGGGGGTTGGATTTTTGTGAGGTTTGGGCTAGAATGGGTGGTTAATGTTTTCCTGCTTGGGGCTTCTGGGAACTTTGAGGGCCCGTGTTGAGTGGTTCTTGCATGATGTTTTATTAAATTTGCCCCTGACCATTTCAGCAGCTGCTTGACGTACTGAATTTTTGGTATTGTTTTTTGAGGTGAATGGTATTCCGTAATCGCTTTAACTTGCGGATAGAGCTGAAACATTTAACATTATATTTTACTTTAATGTAGAATTGATGCATTTGAGTATTGAAGCAGGACTGTCTCCCTTTATTTTACTTATGTTGGACATTGCTTAAAACAAATGTATTGTGCTGGATGGCTTCCATGAGCCTCAACAGTTTAAGCATCCTCTTTCCCATTGCTGTTTCCTGGATATCTGAGATTTTGTCTACACTTGGGATTTGGTGATGGCAACTAGGTTTCCTTGCGACGTCTGCGCTGGTGTAGTGGGTCACTCAGGAAGATTCAGTGTACAGAATGCCTAACACACCTGATGTGTTTGAGCACACGGGAGAGAAATGAAAGGATTCTTGCATTAGTACTGCTTTTCTACAGGATTAATGCGTAAATAAACTAGATGGTTGGACAGATTTGGGTTTTCTAAATAAAGGGGATGTATTTTTGTCTCTGCCAAAAAAAGAGAAGTGATTACCTTTCACTTTGAGACAGCTAGCAGTAAAATAGGACAGTATCTGAAGTAATGAGATTTTATTACATCCTTTGTAAAACTGAATAAATACCAGATTTAAAAGATAATGCTCATTTACTAATTCAAATAGTCATGAGCTTTTTTGTTACTTTCAAATACCATTATTCTGAAGTAGGCTTTTGTCCTCCTTTAATTCCAAATTAAAATGGATGGTGAGGAATTCTTGCCAGTTTGTGAAGTGGCATGAAAAATAAAACTTTCTTGGCGTCTTTACCAAGCAGATTGGTTCATCCTTTTACCTATTTTGTTCTCTTCAGAAGTAAATGTACTGAACTGACCAAACAGAACCTTCCTGGCAAGTGGTCTTTTGGAACAGAGGATGGCGTAACCCTTTAAAATCGCTCTGGAGTGTTGGAGGCTAAATGGGGAGTTTGGGGATAGCTTTTGTTATGCTTTGCCTGAGGATTTGCAGCAAGACTGTGTGAAGGCACCCAAGCCATGGCTCTGCCCTCCCAGCCGTGGGCTCTCCGTGGCCTGGCAAGCACCCAGCGAAGATCAGGGTGTGCGCGGGGCCTGGCCCCGCCGAAAGGCAGCGGGTGCTGGCAGTGCCTCTGTGCTCCCCCCAGCTGGGGAAGGGATGCGGGGCCGTGCCTCGAGGGCTCACACCCGTGTGGGCAGCAGCCCCTCCGCGGCCCGCAGAGATCCCACAGCTGCGAGGGACTGACTGTCTGTGACAACTCCAGCTGGTCACGAGGATTTTCTCAGAAACCTCCAACAGTAAAACTGGCAGTAGGGATTTTGCTGGCAGCTGCGGGCTCTCTCCAGTGAACTCACTTTTCCTTCTGCTTACTCCTTTAAAAAATTAAATAGCTGCTTGCCTTCATATGTTACATAATGACCCATATAAAATAAAGGTTATAATGATACACATAGGCACCATTGCCTACAGCCAACAGCTCTGAAAAATAGTGGAGTAATTCTGATCAGTAAAATCTGTTTCAAATTGTAGGTTGACAAGCATCTGCACCCCGTGTCTTTCGTGTAAAGAGGGGATTCCTCTCTGTCTTGGGGTGGGGGGAAAGCTCAGGCTTGAGCAGGAATTACCAGTGCAGTATGCAACTAAACAGGCGAGTTTGTGGATCAGATAGAGCTTTTTATTTTGGTGAGAAAGAGGTTCCTGAAACAGATGTTGTAATGAGAACCGTGAAAAATAAGGGACTGGAAATTCAATACATGATGGAGCAGGAAAAAGGTTTATGTGGTTTGTGAGGTGCCTTTTCTGGAAGCGGGAAACCCCACAGTGAGAATGCCTGAGTGTTAGAAATGTGGAGGCCTGCGAGACAAAATTATTTTCACTGAACAAAAATGTCCTGAAATGCTAAACATGAACATACTAACCCCCACCCCCCAAAAAAAATTCTTATAAACGAATGTGTATAGGCAAGTGTTGCACAAAGATTCAGTTTTACAAGAACCTTGGTACTGGTAAAGATGACCCTGTTCATGCTGGGGGTAGCTGAGGAGGTAAGTTTTTTAAACTCACTGCAGCTCACTGGCAGAGCCAGATTAGAGCTGAAGATTTTCCAGTTCTGCCCTAAACTACAGATAAGCAGATTTTGTTGGTTTGGCTGCTCTTAAGGCTGAGTTTACTCCTGAAAACTTGGTCTGGGTACAGGTGAAGACTTTTAACATCGGTCTGGAATTTGTGCAGTTCTTCTGCCAGTTTACCATTGTGGCTGTAGCGCATCTGGAAATACCAGGTAAAATCAGAGAGTCAGTGTAGGTGCAGCAGTTCTCATGATTTCTAGATGTGTTAAAATCAGATAAATCTGTGGTATACTTGGAGAATATATCCGATGTCGGGCTTGGCGCCTGCATGCGAGTCACCTGTGTGTGTCGCTGAGAAACACCCCGAGGGAACTTGGTCGATGGGTCTCCGTCCCCTCCATCCACACCAGCCCGTGGAGGGTTTCCTCCCCGTCTCGGGCGTGGAGACGGGAGCACCTTCCCCACGTACATGCTGCATCTGCATCCCTGCCTGGTCACAGTTCTGTTTGTAACCAACCTGGAGATATTCCATGTCCGTGAGCTGTGGGGTTTTGCAACTAAAAGCTGTGAGAACAGATCTAGGAATAGGTATATCTTCTCTTCTGAGCAGCTGATGTTTGAGTAACTGTGTTGAAGCAGGAGGTGGAGGGTACTTGGTGTTTGCCAATACTGAGGGAGATAAACATTAATTCTCTAAAAGCAGTGCATGCTAGGAAGATTGATAGTCAAAATTTTGTAATGAAAAACATATTAGCTATTTTTTACTTTAATTTGTAAAAAAACCAGGCTCCTTGGTGCAGGTACTCTTTTTGCATTGTTCCACAGGCACAGAGCAGTGTGCGTCCGTGCTTTGGGATCACGGGACTTCATGCTGTCTTTGTAGTAGAAACAGAATTCTTGTGATGTTATCATATAAAATATGAATTTTAATATTAAACTTAATGCTCTGCTATGAGAAATATGTAAACTTGGCTTCAGAGCAGCAGTATGCACTTCCTGGAATTCTGTGCATAGCAGGGTTATAAATAAGCAGCAGGTTATTTGGGAATCACTAGGGCTGATATCTGGTATCACAAACAGTATCTGGGAGAAATGGTTCTCCCTGACAGACAGATGATTTTTGAAGAATGCAGTAGGCTTTATTTTGAAAATTCCTATCTTATGAATGAATACCCAGTAGACATGGAGCAGTTACCTGCTCACAAAGCAAGCAGATATATGCTATTTAAGTACTTTATACCTCTGTTGCCAAAATTTCATTCCTTTGACTGTTGAATGTAATGTTTCCAATCTAGATCAAAATGCTAGGCATGTTTAGGCAAGACACTAAACTGGTAAGTGTAGGATTGTCAATATATGGATTAAATCTGTATTCAAAATAAATTAATTTTGAAGGGCTTTATCTTTTATTGATGTATGTGTCTATAACATTGGAAACATTATATATTTGTATTCAGTTAAATAGGCTTTTAAAAATCTTTAGGAAAGTGTTCCGTTTGTTGTTCAAGCTCTTAATAAGCTATAAGAATCAGTGTTTTCTGCTTCATTACTATATTTTTTATTAACTTACTGTTATCTGACACATATCATCATGGTTCTAGGGAAATTTGTGATGGAATGGCTGCCAGAACAGAACCACCGTGAATATTAGATTTCACGTGTTAATAAAAGCTGGGTGTTTGGGCAGGTGGTGGCTTCTCTTTGGAGGTCTCTGTGTGACCCCCTGCCCACAGGCACTCTGTGGGACGGGGTGGGACAGGGTGGCCGTGGGCTGTCATGGGTTGTCAGAGGAGACTGGGTCTTGTTAGGACTTAACGTCGACACTGTGGACTAAGCAGCCATTTTGGGCTCACAGGAAATCTGCTGAAATAGTAAATTATAGCAACAGATAATGTGCAACGGTTAAGGGGTAGAAACCAGTAATTGCTAAAATAATGGTACTCAACTGTCTTTATTTTTGCTTCATTGTGACTGGATTGCTGTTTATCATTTTTGCTTTTCTAATGTAAAATTACTCCTTTTTTTTTTTCCTTTTTTTCCTCTTTGACAGACTCGAGACGACTTCCTGGGTCAAGTGGATGTGCCACTTAGTCACCTCCCGGTAAGCAGTGCTGCTGTCACAGCATGCTCTTTTTTGTCATCTCCAGATGTGAAAGACCCTGATGTTACATAGAATTTATTTCCAGAAGTAGTCAGTTAAATTTTCTTAAAGCCGGCATTCCCAGCACAGCATTAGAGGCTTAAAGACAAACGTTATGGACAGCAAAGCCCCACCGTGCCCAGGAACTGGGAGAAACGGTTCCCTTTGCAGGGACAGGGAGGACATCTGGTATCTGTCAAATTTCTTAACATCCAGGATTCACTTCTCATCCTGATTCTTTCTGAGAATCCTTTTTAGAGTCAATCCATGAATGACACGTGGCCAGTAGACTGGTTGTTTCTCACCTTACCCTTGTTAGTTATTGTCCTGTTCATCTGGATTTTTCCTTTTCATGATTTTCCCTTATGGCTGAAACAGTTGTGTTCTCCCATGGCAAAGTCCATTTCTTCTTGAATTTTTGTTAAAACATGGAAAAAAACATATTTTGGGGTCCTATTTATCTATCTGATTTTCTGTCTAAATATCGTGCTGTTAAGGTTATGGGATAGCAGTTCTGTCTGGGACAGTGGATAGTGCATTTTGATACTACTTCAAGCCTTGTAAAGCCAAGAGCTGTACCCTGAAACCAGAGAAATTGCTGAACCAGCATGTCAGGATATTAAGAAGTTACAAAAATTCAGTTCTTTGGAAAATGTTATAAAATTACCCATCTCCATAGCATATTTCATTAGAATTATTGGTTTTATTATTGAGTGAAAGTAACTTATTTGAAGGACTCCTAAGTCCTAATGGAGACATTAACGAGTGCCATAGCACATACAACAACATTCATTAGATGTTGACATTAGAATTATTGCTAATAATAATTACACAAGCTGTGATATTGTCAGAGCATACATTATAGCTTTTAACATGCATACCTGTACCTTTTAATGTCTATACACATGTAAATAGATTTTCTCTGTAGCAGGCACGTAGGTTCCTATGTGATAGGAAAGTATGTATTTTGGATATTTTCCCAGTTTTAAACAGCTTTAATATGCAAAGAAATATGAATCAACTTGGAAAAGCTGATATTTGGAGGGGTTTCTTCTGTTTTTTAAAAAGTTAGAGTTTAAATACTTGGGTTAACACCTGCTTTTAGAGTCACTTATTTACAGGTGTTTTCTGAAACACCAAACATAGCACCGTACAGGTACCTCCGTTTGTTTTATACAGACAGGCAAAGCCTTAGGATTGACTTTTAAATTCTTATTTATTGACCTCGAAATGCAACTGACAACAGCTTTTTGCAAGTGCAGGAGTTAGACTATTCTGTGTTTGGGAAGGTTTGGTTAAGGCACTGGACTCAAGAAGTATTGCTATGTGTAGGGCTGGTGCTGGGAAGGGATTTCAGAGTTACAGATATACCACCAGTTTTTTAGCGGATGGCAGATGGCTGAAACGTTCTAAGAAGCATCCACTAACTTTGTGCTCATTTTGAGAAAGTTTGGTGTTAATCTAAGGTGCTAAATCTCTGGTTTTACTGGGGTGTGGATGATAATGTGCTTCCTCGCTCAGTGTAAGACAGTTCATGCTTCCAGTTTTGTCAGCCCAAACTGTACAATCGATTACAGTAGCCCAGACAATCAGCAGATGAAGTATGTGCACGGATTTCTGAGTCTCTTACTTCCTGTGTCATCTCTAAGTTCCCAGTTTTGCACCTATAGTATCTGTATCCTCGCAGACATGAAGGATGTAACTTGCTTGATGAGAAAGCTGGAATTCTTATGTAGTCGAAAGTTGTCAAGATTTAAGGCTTTATGAAACTTGGAGTTAAACGGAAATCAGAAGATGTCATCTGTCAGCCTGATAATACTACTTATGTACAGCACAAAAGATTTCTGTGTCTTAATTCTTTTTGCAAGTCTCATCAGCTTTGAAGTAAAAGCCAGTGGAGGAATTTTATTTCATTGCTTTCTAATGTGCAGAAAAATGTCTGCTTTGGAATAGATGCAAGCTTTTCTCTCACTGCTGTTGGAAGAAGTTGGAAGGGGTTTGTTTATTCCACCTTTTTCTGGCCGGTGACTGCTGTGTACCTGGCAGAGACGTGGGCCAGCCCATCCCTGGTATTTGCAGTGGCATCTAGTGGCTGGTTCTGCAGCATGCGTGGGCACACGCTGGTGGAGCTCTGCCTGCTGCCACTCCGGGAGTCAAACGTCTTCCCTAGCACCTGTACTGCACCTCCGATGTCACTGTTCTTTGTGTGTCCTGTGCTTGTGGGCAAGCCCTTTAATCTGCCCTTTTCTTAAATGCTTCTAGACTGAAGACCCAACCATGGAAAGGCCATACACATTTAAGGATTTCCTTCTCAGACCAAGAAGGTGAGGGGGGGACATTTGTATTTTAAAACATTTCTTACTTCAAGGTGTGTTACCTGTAACTATTTAAAGGTTGTTGAATGAAATGCACCTCCTTGTCTTCTAGCCACAAATCTCGTGTAAAGGGCTTCTTGAGACTGAAGATGGCTTATATGCCTAAAAATGGTGGCCAGGAGGAGGAAAACAGTGATCAAAGGGATGAATCTGAGGTAAGGCTGAATGCTGGTGGAAGCATTCAAATGAGAGATTCGACTATAATTGTAGAGAAAGTTGTACCTTGAAAGATAAGCCCCTGGCAGCAGTGTTAGTAGCAGCTTAGTCTCCTTCCCCTCTCCAGCTATTTTTTTTTAAACTGTAACCTTGTGTTTTCACAACCATTTCGAGTATTTCAGCTGCCACAATGAAGTCTAAAGTCTGACTCGGTTTGTGAGCAAGTAGCAGTCATGCCAAGTAAAAGAACTCAGAAAGTCTCTGCAAGTAATTCGGAGGCCATTTCAAGATAGGTGTTATAACATTTTCCTTCGTTTCCTTGGCAGCGTTGACTTTGCAGAGAATAAAGCTCATGCACGCGCGGCAGGTTCAGAGACTTCCCAGCACTGGCACCAGCTGTCGCGCCCGTTAAGAACCAGGTGCAGGTAGGGCTGTCAGCGAATGTCAGCCCGCGCCCGCCCTGCCCCAGTCACCCGTGGCGTGGGAGCAGGGCCCTCGGCCCCGGGTTCAGGAGGTGGCGGCTGGTTCTCTCCGGCTCCTTGCCTGGGAATCTGCACCAGGCCACCTCCCGAACACGCGGCCGATTCCCAAATACCTCTGGAATCCCTCTTGTCATAAACTGGTGGGGTTTTACATTTTGTGTCACTAACCACGGAGTTTATTCTGCTTCATATGCTTTACATTTCAGCGATTTTGAACTTCTCTTTGGAAAAATTTTCAGAATCTTCTCCTACACGCTATGTAAGCAACAATGAAATAACTTCTATTCAACTTGAACTTTAAAATTTTACAATTCTTTTTTTTTTCTTTGTTTCTAAGCATGGATGGGATGTGGTCGATTCCAATGACTCCGCATCTCAGCGTCAGGAGGAGTTGCCACCTCCTCCGCTGCCTCCTGGGTGGGAAGAAAAGGTGGACAACCTGGGGCGGACTTACTACGTCAACCACAACAACAGGACTACTCAGTGGCATCGACCGAGTTTAATGTAAGTGGCAGTGTAGTGCAGTGTTTTGTGGATCTGTGCAAAGTTATCAGTAAGGGCAGGGAGGTTTTTTCAACAAACCACCATTTTCAATTTACAGATTCAAGGCTGGAAAAAGTCTTCAGCAAGACTTTCACAAAGCAGTATATAAAGGCACGCTGTTCTCTCTGGTAACAGGTTAATTGTGCCTTTGGTGCTGTGCTGTGTATCTGAAATTATACTTTATTCATGGAAAAATTTCACAGATGTGCTAGTAAATTGAGAACAAAAGTCTCGATATCTATAGTTAGAAAACTTTTTTTTTTTTAAGAATGAAAGAGACTTCCCCCCCCCCAGCAAATTGCATGTGCAGATAGGTGTTCTGGGAAGTTGTCGGACATGTGAAGGGCTGGAGGGGAAGTCACTGCATTAACAATGTACCTTGGAATACTGGGAGACAGATGTGGTATTTTTCTACAAGTAATTTAACAGGAATAAATTACTTTCTTTTATAGAGCCTGTTGAAAAGGTAAGGGAAAAAGTCAACCCTATTAGGTTATTGCTCCTGGGGAGATTCTGGTTGACACAAGAGGAAAACTCCTCATGCTAAGAAGAGTCAGTGCTGCAGTGATCTCCCCGGGGCAGTGGGATTCCCCAGCACTGGACACTTTCCAGACTCAGCTGGACAGGGGCTGGGCCACTTTGTCTAGACCGGGCTTTTGCCGAGAGCGGTTGGACCAGGTGATCCCTGAGGTCCCTTCCAACCTGGGATTCCACGATTCTCTGAAACGTGTGAAGTGCTGCCAGTTTTATTGACTTGGATTGAGGGGTTAAACGATCTCCTGTTTGTGAAACCTGACATACGCAATAATGATTTTTATAATCAAAACCTTTAATGAGATTTTGAAAGCAACAGACAAAGTAGGTGTTTTATTTTAACATTCTTTATTTCCTTGTTCTTTTCTCCTTCATGTGGTTTCGTTTCCCCACTACCCAGCGATGTGGGATCTGATTCAGATAACAACATCAGACAGATAAACCAAGAAGCAGCCCACAGGCGGTTCCGCTCTCGGAGACACATCAGTGAGGATTTGGAACCAGAACCTATGGAGAGTGGAGACATTCCTGAGGTATGGAAAGGTCTGGCTGTAAGAAGTTGACTAAACTTCTCATTTGTAAGCTAACTACTATACAACATGCATAGCAACGTTTCTACATGGTGTCTGTGGAAATTGCCTTAGTGTAAAATACCAGTGACACAATAAAGATCCTAAACGGAGCTACGCTTCCAGGTCTCCTGCATTGGTAATGCGTGCACAAGGTTAAATGCCATGCAAATTGTGGGAGAAACATGTATAATCCCAGGCATCGCTTGTTATGTCAGTAGAAACACTTTCAATATTCTGCTTTGAATAACAGTGGACTGAGTTGTAAAAAGGAGGGAAGCAGACTGCCACGTATTTACATTTTTTTGTGTGTGTCCTGATTTAGAGAAGGAGAAGCTTTTGGGTTTTTTTTCTCCAAAATATTTGGGTTTAGTTAGAATTCCGAGATCTTATTAATCAGGGCGAGTGTTTGTTTACTTTATAGCTAGACTGAATAAATCAAATTTGGTAGATATTTGTAGGCCTAAGTGAGAGTTTGTGTAAAGCTCTAATCCCATTCAACTTTAAGGAATATTTTATTATGTGCATCACAGACAAAATTCTTTGTGAAAGTTAGTTTTGGTTCACTAAATGTTATTCAGAGCAGCAAATAGCTTGCTGAAGCTATTGTTGCACTCATCACCTGTTAACATCTGATTTGCAGATACTAATGAGTACTTTCTATTTTGCATTTTATTCTAAATTAAAATTAGCAGTTGTTTCTTACAAGTTTTTAGTTAGAATGCGAAATTAGCTACATTTTTAACAAAATTTCAGATGGAATTAATTTAATGAGAGCTCTTTTTTATGCCTCTTTCCATCTACATAATTTTCCGTGCTGAATCATAAAGCACTGTGTCGTTGTCAGCCTGAAGAGCACTTTGAAGTCAGCATGAGAACTGCTTCTCCCTGTGATGGCTTCACACAGAGTAGAATGCTGGTTGGTGTCTTGCAGGGACAAATGTTTTGTTAATGTTAAGGCTGGTTACCACACCTGTTTGTGCCAGCGAGGTGGTCACACAAGGCAAAGGGAAGGAAGACTTGGTCTGTCTTTGTCAATCCTTAACGTGGTTTCTTCTCTTTTGTTAGCCTTGGGAAACCATTTCAGAGGAAGCAAGTGCGAGTGGAGATTCCTTAAGCTTGTCGCTGCCACCTCCTCCTGCCTCTCCAGTGTCCCGGACCAGTCCTCAGGAGCTCTCGGAGGAACTGAGCAGGCGCCTGCAGGTCACTCCTGATTCCAATGGGGAACAGCTCAGCTCTCTGATTGTACGTGACGTGCTGCTCTCTCAGCCTCTATTGCTGTACTCTTCCCCTGGGTTGACAGAACCAAATCCCTTACATGGATGGGTTGTAATTGCTGGTCTCGGGAAGGCCTGAGCACGCAGTTAAAATTACCTTCTAAAAAACACATCATAATTTCACCACAGAGCAAACTGCCTCGAACAACAGAATTCCTCAGTTCAGAAGTCATGTTTCCTTCTTGTGAGTTTTTTCAGACTCCACTAGTGTTAGACCTTCAGTGAAACAAAGTATGTCATACTAGAGAGTATCAAGCTAGTAATTTCCAAAGGAAAGAGAAAAAACTGCTAATGCTTTTTGAATCACAATCTGGTTTACATGATAATTTTTCTGAAGTTAGGTATTTTAACTGCATGTGTTTATATTAAAGCGTGTGGTTTCTTACATTAGGATTTTATAAACACCTCATAGTTTACTGGATCAACTGCTACAAGAGTAGCAAAGGATTAGAATTGGAAGTAGGTAGCTGTGGTGAAATCCTCCACAAGTTTGTAAATGGCTAGTCTGGAAAAAATTTGTCTCATGTCACCATAAGAGTTTACTTGAGATAAACCAGAAGATGTTCTCTATATTTGTGTTAATCCTTACTTTGTCAGACTGATGAAACCACCAAAAATCAGGATAATAAACTTGTAAGGGGGGGGTATCTTATATCTCTTAGGTTAAGAAAACAGTTGTAAGTATTAAACAGGGCATCATGCTCTGGTTTTTGGTTTTTTGTTTTTTTTCTAAAAAAATCCTTGGTGTATGCCATCAAGGTACATTTGCAATTCAAGAGAGAAGTATCATATATACTTTTGTTCTGATTGAAAAGAATCTTGATTAGGTGCAAGTTTTTCACAAAGAAACCTGTGCAGTAGGTGTCTTATAATGATTTGAATGTTATCTGGAGGTTAGTTAGCGAATTACAGCTCTGCTGGCTAACCATCTGCAGAGTGTCCCTTGTGCTTGTGCAGGTAACTGCAGATTTTAGTAGATGTTCACCTGGAGGGCAGGAGGTTAATCAAATCGTTTCAGTGGCAAGAGCAGGGCCTACTGTTTTTTTTACATTAACAATAATAAATAAATGGTATAGCTGCAAAGTTCTCTCAAATAATTAAATAATTATATTCCTATCAAACTAGCTCTTAGGAGCCATTAAGTGACAGCATCTTGCTTTTCAATGCAATAACAATTATAATCAGACCGCACTTGCAAAGTAAGAAATTGCCAAAGTGTTGAAAATCTCTGTAAGTGTGTGTTGTCCACATCAGGGTATCCACGCCCCGGCGGGGCTGGAGGCAGCTCAGGGCAGTGCTGGCCCCCACTCTGCCACGGCAGCACTCGCTGCCCTGACCCAGCACTCGGGGCTGAGCTGGTGACTGCCCGGCTGGGGAGCAGAGCACAGGGACACCCAGCACCAGTTGGGGAGCAGAGCACAGGGGGGACACCCAGCACCAGCTGGGGAGCAGAGCCATTGGACTGGATGGTCGATCCTTGTATGTCCCTTCCAACAGAAACACTCTGCTCATGGCTTGCTTTGTTGCCAGCCCTCATGACTACAGTATTGGTATATTTTCATTATATGGGATTTTTTCATGAGAGTAACAAAAAGTGATTGACAATGCCTTGTCTTAAAACCCGGTGTTTTAAGACACCTTAGCTTAAAGACATATTTCTTTCTTTCTTTTTTCCAGCAAAGAGATCCTTCTTCAAGATTAAGATCTTGCAGTGTAACAGACGCAGTTGCGGAACAGTCTCAATTATCCTTGGTAAACCAAAACTAACTTCTGTTTCTTTCTTGTTGTTTGAACATGGTCTGATTCTGAATATCTTAGGTCAGCTGTAGTCAGATACAGATCAGTAAAAGCAGCATGGGCATCTGACTGTCCCACATAGTAATGGACACCAAATTAGTATCGTCAGGGTCAGCAACTCAAATGAGGACATTGATGTGAGAGAGGGAGTTCTGGGCTGGCCGGAGTTACGGACGCTGGGCTCTGTGGGCAGTGGAGAGGGAGGGTCCTCCACCGGGTGTTTTCAGCTGGGGTAGGAGAGGGCAGTGGCACCACCTGTACTTGCAGCTGTAGCAGCACAGGACTCTCCTGGCAGGTATATTTTTGTGTCCCATAAATTGATTTTACTTGGGATATATAAATCTATAACATTAAAAGGGTTTGGTGTTTTACCTCGTTGTAGTGAAAAGGAGCCTTTTTGTGACAGTCACGTGATAGAACTGAACAGCATTGCATCTGGTGTAGTTTTTTAATCAGTGATTTAGGTAAGCAATGTGCACTTGTATTTAAGTAGATTCTTAACAGGGAAAGCTACAAAGATGTTTTGTAAAAAGATTCTCTTTCACGTGATAAGTGTGCATACCTTTGGTCTAGTTGATAGAAAGTTCTACATATTTTGTGGGACAACCTGAGTACAAGGGTTGCAAAGGTGGTGCGCTGTAGAGAGACTACGTAAAACAGGATTGCCCAAGACAACCTTTTGAAATGAAACTGTTCAGATTTTCAAAATAATATTTTTTAAAATTATACTTTTCTTCCAGGGTTATTTTTTACCAATTTTTATTAGAAATACATTACATACGTATCTACAAATAGCAAATGTGTGTATCTTTTTAATGGAAATATTGAGTAAATAGTGTATATCAGTAACTTGTTGTTAAAGCTGATGTCTCTCCCTTGCTTGTTCTTTCTGTTGCTGTTGGGCAGACGTTTGCAATAACCATCATGGTTTTCTCTCCGCTTAATTTTTTCACGTGTTGCAGCAGTTTAGTGTATCTGCATTTGCTGCCTACAGATGCATGTAATAGCTGTTGCTCAAAGAACTGCTTCTGAAGGATTATCCCTCCCTCTGCTTTCTCCTCGGGGTAGGCAGCAGGGTGGTTTCCAGTGCGCCTCTGCCTTCACTGTCCTCCCTCTCCACCAGCCAGTTGACTCTGGGTGAGGTCTGCTCCAGAGGTGTTCTGCTCCTTTCTTTAATAGCACTTGATGGAGTCCGGCTTTCTTACCGCTTGATGGAGTCTGGGTGTCTTTATCTGGTGTAGTCAGGTTGGGAGTGGTGATGTGGCTTTCACTTTATTATTTTAGAACGCTCGTTTCAGTAGTGGAGGTTCAAAACAGCAGAACTGAAAGCACTGCGCTAAGACACGGCTCTTACCTCATCTTAACCATATTTAATCCTCACTGAGCTAATCATAATTTATCTTCTAGCAACTAAATACATACTTTCTTTCTAAATACAGTGCTGCTCTTGGCTGTATTAATCCTTACTGACAGTTCACAGTATCAGTTCCATCTTTCTCTGCACTCACTGATGACCAGAACTTACCCCCTTTGGGGTTTAAATTCCATGTTTATGGGCAGAACGTGCAAAATTTGTTGGGGGGGGAGGAAGTATGTTACATTTGGAATAAATTCTTTCTTATTCTTATATATAGTTCTTATTATTATCATTAACAATACAGACCATAAAGAATTGTACATAAGAACTCTTGAAATTAGTTCCCTTGATGTTTTTTTATATGAGGCTCTGACTTGGTTATCAGTGATTGAAGACTCAAGTTTTTTGCTATTATCTGAAACATTATTTCCATCGAACTGCTGTCTTTTAATAAATTTGAGTGTGTAATTCCTTACTCTTGAAGATGTGACAGTAATCTGTGACCTTCATCACTAAATATACTTATCTGTAACATTAATTATCATTTAACAGCAGAGTGGTCCATCTAGGAGAGCTCGTTCTTCAACTGTCACAGGTGGTGAGGAACCAACGGTAATAATACTCTTTATCAAGCACTATCTCTAAATAAAATGTGGGTAGATTTAGGTCTTGTACAATAAGGAACATTTTTTCACAAAGTGGCAGTGTGTTGAATGAAATGCATCCACTGAATCAATATATTTGTTGGTGTTTTCAAATTTTCTCAAAATGTCTCAAAACACTGCAGTTTCACTCGAACACTAGCACATTCTAATGATGTGGACATGTCACTGTGTTTTAACATAGCTATGCTCTAAGGAAATACCATAGGCTTTTAAAAAATGAAAGCTACAACACCTGATTCTTTAAAAACTGACAGTGAAAGAATGGGGGATTAGAGACATCAAATCAGTGTACATGTAGCTGTGGTTTTAGCCTGCATCTGTCTTCCCTTACTCTCCATTAGACTAATTAATTCTTAAAGTTGGCGTTAATTTGAGAGCCATGGAGGCACAGTGCTTCACCATATAGCTCTTCATGGTCTTAAGTAATGCCAGCTTTCATTTTCCAGTAGTTGTTCAGCAGTCCAAGGCTGAAGTTTTACTTTGCTGATCCAGTAAAATTCTGGAAGTGCTTTCCTGAAGGTGTAATGCAAGGAAAGTGGGTTTAATTTATGTTGGGCTTTGTCAGAAACATCCCATTCTTTTTTAATCTGATTAAATATCTGTCTGAAGCAAGTTATCTCATGGAAATCATTTTACAGTAACATAAATAGCTTCTATGAATATATGTGCTGCTTGATCATTTGGGGGGAGAAATATAACTGAAACTTGGGTATGCTTCTGTTTATGTGTGGTAATGTCAGATCTCAATTTGGGTGTTGGTGCTTCATCCTGTAACACTCTATTTACTGGGTTTGGATCCTAGAGGAGCATACTTGTATTGTGTTCCTGCAAAGAGCAATTTTTTGTGTGTTTTTGCAAAACCTGCTTGACTTGTTAATCATTAGAAAAACGTGTGCTGTATTGAACTGCCGTGTGAAGGTCTTGTTGGCAGAGCATCTTGTCTTGATTATACTTTTTAGACAAAATATTAATTTTTCTGCAAATGACTGGTTTCAAACTTCAGTGACTCATAACTAATACAGCTGTATCACAGATGTTTTACCTTGCAGCTTACTATGGGACAGCCCCCCTTGGTTCAGCGTGCATTTACATGCTGAAACCCGGATCTGTAGGGAACTCGGGACTTAAGCAGGGTTGGTGCGTCTCAGCCCCGCAGCGCTGTCTCCAAGGCTTGCCCTTCTCTCCGTGCTTTAGGCACCTCACGTCTGGAGACGTACGAGCTGTCAGTAGCAGGAGTGTGTGGGGCGCCTCGGTTCTGCTTGCGGAGTCCCTGCAGGGCCACAGGGGCCGGGGCCCCTTTCCGTGCGTGGCCCGCGGGTCGCGGAGCCCCACGAACAGCCCCTGGCCGCCGGGGCCGGGCGCTGCGGGAGCAGCACAGGCCTGGGGAGGCTCCCAAAGGACACGCTCCTGCAAACTGACTGTGCCAGGATTTTCCCCCTTCGGGTCCAAGCCTAAATGTTTGGATAGCTCATAAGAAATGGATACACTAAATATTCTGTGTAAGTGTGAAAATGTTCCATCTGCCCTAGAGATAGTGTGGCTGACCTTTCCTATTGATCAGGGACAGAAGATGGGCAGATTTGGCACTTGAGTGTGTGTAATGAAGTAGGTGTTGCTGACTGTAGAGAAAGCTCATGTTGGAGGAAATCTGTCTGTGGTTATTAACCACGTTGCTTTTCAGGATCTTTTTTCTTTTTTAAGTCCCCAAGGACGTTTACTGCTCCTCTGTGAAGGGTACATTGTAAAACTAGTCTGAGCAAAACCAGAGTTAATGCATCGAGTGTCCCAGCATCTCCATTCTCATGACACTTGGTCCTTAACCACAACACTTCTTTTCCCCCACACTGTTTACTGAGGACAGTTGTTTAAAAAAATGCTTTTTTGTTAAAAAGTATTCAGTTTGGGGGTAAAAGGCTCTTGATAAATCTCCGAAGTTCCTACTCTGTGGTAGAATATCTTTACACGGAAAAGAGATTGAAGGGCAAACTCTGTTTTGCAGATTGCATTAACCCACAGTGAATGGTGAGGAGGAAGGCTGGCGGTAGCTGAATTTATTTTGGTAGATAGAGTGTTAGAGAGAAAGGAACGATCAGGTGGCGTAACTAGAGCATCTCCTGCTCCCGTATCCTCACGGTCAGAGCCGGTAATGTGCAGCATGCCATCATATAGTAAACAGATTGGGTGTTATTAAAACTAAATGATTCCGGTTTTTAATTTAAAAATCCCTGATTTATCCAGACCTTAGGTTTACTCTGTACTGTAGACAATAATGGCAGCCTGAACAGAGAAAACACGTAAGAACTTGTAGCAGTCCTCCCCTGGTTCAGAAAATCTGTGAATCGTCAGCCCTCTTCATTTCTCCCAGACTATCAGATACCTTAATTATCTCAGTTTTAACTAAAACGTTGTCTGTGGAGCGTTTCCAGACCGCTTACTGTGGCCTCGCTGACCGGTGATTAACGGTTTGGAAGCCAAGAGAACAGTCCTGGCAGAGGGCGTCTCCCTCCTGCCTGCCAGCTCTGTGAGCAGCACAGCACAGGCTTTCCAGCACTTCACTCTTTGGGAAAGAAAGAAATCAGTCTCATAGTTTGTTTCAATGGATATTACTTAGTTTCCTCATCTGTTTTCTGTTTCCTATTGTAGTATGTCACCTTTCTGACCTGCTCAGGATCTTTTCTCATTTCCCCTGATTATCCAGGCAGTTCTCCAGCTCACTGGGTCAAATACACCCTTCTCTTAAAAGCAAATACACCGACTTAAGCAAGAGTCCTGGGGAAGAGGTCTTAAGAATATGAAGCAAGAACAGGAATTACAGTTAATGACTTTGCTGGAGCAGAGGATGCAGAGTGTAGGAAAAGAATGTATCCTCTGTTTTCAGCAGGAGCCTTCAGAGGCCTAAAGGGAGTTACCAGACCCTACTGTGCAGTGTCATTTACATCTTCCATCCCTGGGTAGTAATTTTGCACTGTATACGTATTTTTAAATGGAATGATCATAAAACACAAATTGGTGTTTAGAAGGATGTGGAAGGAGTCACTTCTTTGCTTACTTGGTGTAGCTGGTGTGCAGAATGCAGCTAAAGACCTCGAGACAGGTCCAAGGAGCCTTAGTTGTGGCTTAGTACTTCTGCGCCCTTGTGAGTCTGCAGAGAAACTCAGAACACAGACTACTTTAGGAAAAGAAAATATCATTTGTAATAAAATGCAGAATACTTGCACTGAGGAATCTAAATAGTAAAATAAGGAAAAACATCAAAACTTGTAGAGACTAAGGTATTAGTGGATGGATTGCAGGTACTGAACTGGAAACTGGAGTCATGCTTTTACCCATCTAAGTTTTACTGATTAATTTTGTGTTCATCCTGTGGATGCTGTAAGTGGCTACAGGTGTTTCTTATACTCTCAGCCATAATGCAGTTGCTTGTCATGTTTTTTAAATCTGGCAAAGAAAGACCCAGACTTAAATCTGTAGTTGATACGGTCCTTGCTCTTGCTCAAGTGTCAGACTCGTTTGTTCCTCCCCTGAGCAGCGGGTCGGCTGTTGCGGCCGCTCCAGAACCTGCATCCTTGCAGAAAATGCCACGTCCAGGTGCAACACGCACGCTAGGCTCAGCAGCTCACGTTTGGCCTTTCTGTCTGCTGTGCTGCTTTGCAGTTCTACCCATCAGCACTTACACCTGGAATTCTTAACGAACCAGTAAATTAATGTTTTACACCGTGAGCGAAGTGCCATGTACGTTGCCGCAGCCTGTTCAGGGGAAGCTCTGGCAAAAGCAGACTCAGATTCGGTTTGTTTTCTTAGCACTGCACAGCTGCCTGTTTCCACAGGAGTTAATGTTACTGATGATGAATTAAAGCATTGCATAAATTGGTAAGACAGTGCAGGTCAAGTGCTGGTTTTTACTTTGTCACATGATGAAGACCTGTAGGTTTCATCACCCTTCTGCTGTGAGGGCAGGTATTTGAAAGAGTGAATCTCTAGCATTATAGTCTCCTGATAATTAATGCATGAATGTATATTTTGATATTTAATAATTAAATGCATATTTAACCCAGGAGCTAGATGTAGATACTGAAAAGCACCTTGCACATGCCAAGCCTTTGATGCAATAATTAATGCATGGGCTTCACTAGAGAGCACAAATTCTGTCCTGCAGAGTTTAGCCGTTTGCTTCTATCTGCCAGCAATGACAGAAATTCCCGTTTCTCTCTAGCTGTTAGTATTTACATCGGTTACTTGAGAAAAACGCCTGTCCCGAGGCAGCAAACCCGTTCCTGACGCGTTACACAAGCAAGTGTTGTCTGAGGAGGAGTCCCGTACTAGCAGGAGGCTAAGCCTCAGACCCAGTAGATTTATGTAGAGTGTGTGGTCTGGAACTGCAGCCCTGGGGCATCCTCCCCTTGGACAATGCATAGGCAGATGCAGGCAGGGTCAGTGTTAAAAATTCTCTCTAAGCTATTTTCCTTCAAGAAGCTTTGCTGTTTGTGCTATGATGCTTTTTTCCCCCCTCTGTAAGTCCCAGAAAAAAATACCCAGTTGGTTTAAGCACTGATATTTTCCTCACACAAGACAGCATCAGCAACACAAAATAATGTCATTGTTGTGTTGCGTAGTGACGTAACTTGTTTAATGACAGTTCATGCCTTTGGCACAGTTATCATCATCTATATATTTTTGTTACAACATTGTCTTTCTTGTGGAACTTAGTAAAAAAAAAAAATACTTTCATACTAAATTTGGGCTGTATCTTGTGTTTTCAGGGCACCTAACCCTCTATGAAACATTTGTAACTAAAACAGAACTGTTAAACTTCAGTTTTTAAACCCACAGTAGCTTCTTGCAACTGATTGAAGACACCCTCTGGTAAAGAACAGAACTTGGGAGGTCTCGACTGCATGGCTGCTTCAGCTCTCGCTTATCCATGCTAAAAAAAGGGAAACATCCACCTTGTTATAGAAAACTCCTTAAAACACAAATTCCTTTTTGTCATTGTGCATAATCTACAAATTACACAAAAGTGAATAAAGAGATCTGTTGTGAGAAAATTTGACTCAAAGGGCCATGAAGAAGAGCTTGTAGTAAATGAAACCCGCAGCTGTATTTTTCTGTACACTCGTTGTGTTTAAGAATGTTGTAAGTTAACAAGTTCCTTTTTTTAAACAAGAGACTTATGAATTAGGGGTTTTTAGCTATTATAAAATAACAATACAGTACTTTCTTGCTTGAACAGCCTTCGGTGGCCTATGTACATACTACACCAGGCTTGCCTTCGGGCTGGGAAGAAAGGAAGGATGCAAAGGGCCGTACTTACTACGTCAATCACAACAACCGAACCACAACGTGGACACGGCCCATTATGCAGGTATGAAGGTCTGTTGTGATGCTTCGTTTCAGCAGCAAACACGTTGCATGTGCTGAGTATTATTTCAGTTGAAGCAGCTCCTCAGAACTCTGAAATGTAAAAAAAAAAATATCCTAAGCATTGTCATGACAGCTCATAAAAAATAGCAATGATTGGGATTTTTTGTGTTACTTCTTTTAACTGTGTTAAGGTACAGATTAAGTTGATTGCTACAATGGAAAGAATTTACGGAGAGGTACATAGGAACTAATAAAATGAGGCAGATGCACTCTTAGGACTGAATTTGAAAGTTGTGTTGATCTGTTAATAGTACCATACATTATTTGCCCTTCCAATGGAGTCAAAGGCTTGATCTTTAAGCAAGTACATTTAATATTCCATAGTAATAATAAATAATGACATCATTTTCCAAGTGTGTATCTCTGGATGAACTGTGTTTCTGACGATTTGCTCCCTTGGTTTTGCTTCTGAAACAGCTTGCAGAGGACGGCATGGTCGGGTCGACAGCAAACAGCAGCAACCATCTAAGTGAACCCCAGATAAGACGGCCTCGCAGCCTCAGCTCACCCACAGTCACTTTATCTGCTCCACTGGAGGTGAGAAACGCTGGCACCGAGACATTTGTAATATATGAATATATAGTAATTGAGTTTGGAAAATCTCTGAACCAAGCTACCGATTACATTTTATATTCCTTGTCTTTCAAAAGGGTGTTTAATTTCTTTTAAGTATCTCTAGTTCAGAATACTGTTGAATGGTGCTCACTGCAACACGTCTGAATAACTGCAGTGACTTCTTACGCAAAGACAATGTGTTTTACTTCTGAAAGCGTGAGTGAAACTCTTTAGTCAGTTAAACATGGCTGTATGAGGAGAATAAATTATTTAAAATTTCTTCAGACTTAAAGTACAGCACATTATTTGTCCTTCTCTCTCACTGTCTCTTCCCTACTTGTGGAAACCCCCTTTGCCCCTGCAAAAGTTGGCCAACAGTCAAGGGAAGATTGTAACATTTAGTGCATTTTATACATCGTTCTTGTTTGTCCTTTATACTGAAATTATTCAGACTGTTGTGCAAGTTGTTAAACAGGATTATTGGGCGATTGTAGTGAGGTGATTATAGTTCATACTTAATATAAATTACCTATCTATAATTCAGATAAACCTTTCAGCAATGAACTAATAACTAGCCTTGTCATTGTTAACTTTGAAGATCAAATCTACTTGTAATTTAAATAAAAGGTTCGGAATATCTTAAACTAAAACATTAAAGACTTTCCTCTCCCTACTGACGCTTCAAACAGTTGAGCTGGTGGGAATCACTGCCTGAGCATCGGAAGTTTGAACGAGCTTTTAAGGGCAATAACCTGTTCTGTAGCTACAAACCCAGTGTTCGCTTCAGAATATTCAGCTCATCAGACTGGTGGGTAGTTTGTCAGTGCTAGGAACCACAAGGGTGCTGAAAACCACAAACCTCTCATACCCCCCTCTGAACTAATTTTTTTTTTTAAAGGTGTAGATTTAATAATATTAAAATCATAAAAGGATACAGCCATGAGGAAAAAATAGTTCAGCTTCTTAGAAGTTGCATCTCTTGTTTAATTAGTTATTTTATTGTAAAATATTCAATTTTGTGTACAAGACATATGGAAAGCTTTTAATGCAAGGTTTTTTTAATGTTATTTTTGAACACTGCAGTCTAACTGCATTTTTCATCCAAATGCAGCTCAAAACAAGCCACGAATAAGGCTAGAATAATTTTGTAAATATCCATGTTGGTGGCTTGTTTTCTAATGTAATACTCAAAAAATATTAATTAACTGTAGGCTAAGTTAGAGAATTGTCAACATGAGCACACATAGATTTACTGAATTTTAGTAATTAGTAACACAAGGAGAAAACAATCTGTTATCACATATCAGCTAATGAGAGCGTGTTTATGCAAAGTAACTGAAAAGTACAAATGCAAACAAGGTTTAAACATAGTACTTAAGTCTTCTGAGAGTCTGTATTTTCCAAGGTGAGTAAATCTGGATCAAACTGTTCAAGCTGTTCAGGCACATAAGCCTGCAGTTCCCCAATGACACTTTAAAAAACCCACCTGGTGTAACTTCTGTTTCGAACCAACAGGCATTGATCCATGAAGCAGTTTTAAGGCTGTGATAATTTTTTTTTTTTTTTTTTAAATTGTCCAAAAATCTGTAACTGCAAACCTCCATTTATTTTAGGAACTTGTTTTAAGTTCGTATTTAACTGTTTTGTCTGAAGTTGAGAAAATCACCACAAAGTGGATAACGTGGCCTCTCATTTATTATGTTGTAAATTGAGGGATGTTGCACCCTGAAGTGGAAGCAGTGCTTTTATTTTTTCCTTTGTAGAATGAAATATTGACATGTACAGGGCAGCTGCAGTGAAATACATAACCAAATGTAAATAGCGTGGACATTATCACTGCAGAGGGAAGCGATAAAACGCTGTCTCCTCAGCAAAAGGCTCGGTATGTTACAAGAAACAGAATCTGCCTAAATAGGTTCTAGGAAATCAGGCCCAGTGCTTAATTGTCGTGTTAATTGTATCTGGAATGAAAAGCTACTTGCTGTGAAGCCAAGTTTTATTTGTGTTACAGTATTGAGTGACTCTTGACAAATGTGACTCCCTTCGTTGTCGCCAGGGTATGAAGGACTCCCCGGTGCGCAGGGCGGTGAAGGACACTCTCTCCAACCCGCAGTCCCCGCAGCCCTCGCCGTACAACTCCCCTAAACCACAGCACAAAGTTGCCCAGAGCTTCCTGCCCCCCGGCTGGGAGATGCGGATAGCGCCCAATGGCCGGCCCTTCTTCATCGACCACAACACGAAAACTACCACGTGGGTAAGAGGCGTTCTAGATAGCCCCCCTGTGCCGTTCCGGGGTTGCTTTCCTGCTTGTCTACCCCGTGTTCCCCTGTTGTGTGGGGGGGAGGTTGGCCAGCCCGGGAGGAGCAGCCGAGGGCCCCGGTGGGCCCCTGCGTGCGCCCGTTCCTGCGCCACTGCCGCGCTCGCGGGAGGGAAACCTGCTTGCTCACAGCCCCTTAGACTTGAGCACATTTCCACATCCCACACCGCGCCACGGTGGTTTGCATTTTGTATTTGACCTTGTCATACTTGACAAATCATCGCACACAAGTGCCGCTCTTCGGATTCCCCCCGCCTGGGATCTGGGGACGTGCAGCGCGGTGGCGGTGCCTGGGTGTGAGACTGCCCTTCACTGTGACCACCTCTGCTCTTGTATTAGCTTCATCTTCTTCCGCTAATGAATCCATTTTATTACTTCTTTTACATCATAAGGATCCATTTTTCAACAATTCTACAATTTTGGTCAATAAATTGAAAAACTAAGATTACACCAGGAAAAGAATGTCCAAGACAGCCCAGCATTCCACATCACCCTTGAAATAGGAGTTGTGCTTTAATTTGTTAAGCATCATTCAGATTCCCAGTGACCACTAGTTACATGACACATTTTTAATGATGGTTCTTAACAGTGGTCCCCAGTGCATGTGGGTGAGTTACATGTGTGGAAATCTCAAGCATTTTTTGTCTAGATTTGTCTTCCGTGACCTATTTTACTTGCCCCTTTTTGCCTCATTTGGACATTGATGTCATAATTCCTGTGCACTAATAAAAGTGTAAGGAGCTCGTTTTCATCCTTTTCGAGCCTTTTTGTGATAGGATGGCTTATTTCTCTTATGTTTTGAAGAGCAGAAAATGTGCATATGTACCTGAATGCTGCTTAGGGGAGTGCAGGCCTTCCTATATTTTTTGCAGCAGGCCTTTGGATACAGCACACTTAATGGAAGCAGAAGCTTACATCCCCCCAACTATTAACATTTTTAAAATCCTCTCAGTATATGAATCCTAATAAAGTATGTGACACATCCAAATACTAAATGTTCTATCACTTTTACGTGTTTTGTTTTATTCTCAAAAAATGAGAATAATAGAATAACTGCAATGTGGGAAGATTTCCAGACAACTCTGCGTCTCACTTGTGTGTAGATCCAACTTGATCTGTGGGTTTACAGTTCTGTGTTTCTGTTACAGGAAGATCCACGACTGAAATTTCCAGTGCATCTGAGATCAAAAGCATCTCTGAACCCCAATGATTTGGGCCCTCTTCCTGTAAGTGATAGCGTGTGTATGTTAATGTGTACGTGCCGTCCTCCGTGCGCTGCTGCTGTCTGTTCTGTGGGCTCACACATTGCTGTCAGCACTGCTCAGGAGGTGTTCAAATACATGGACACAGTTTATTGTCATCTCTGAGTCAGTCAGGGCTCTTCGAAGCCAGCCCATCCTATTTCTGAAATTATTTCATGTTTCTTGGCTTAACTGAAGCTTGAGCTTTGAAGAAACTTACCTTGGTTTTGTCTCTGACTATGTGCTTTTAGATATTTACCTGTTGCTTTAGGAAAAATCGGAGCAGATTGTTCAAAGCCAGCTCTATTCGGTGTACCAGCATATACTGGCATTCAGAAATCTAAATAAATGTTGATGTTTAATTAAACTAACATATTCTGTGAGAAAGTTATCACTTTAACATCAAAATTTCTGTTATACTTGTAACCAAAGTATAATATTGATTTATAGCCATGCCAAATACAGAGCTTTGCTTTGTTTTTAAGAAACTGCATCCTTCGTGGCAGAGACTGGTCTATGAAAGCTAACACTTTTTCTAAGGTGCTGATTTTTATGGTGTAGTGATAATTCAGCTCATTGCCTCATATAAATGATGTGTACTTTTGAGAAACTGCCATTGAAATTGTACTTGCAACCCTGGCAACCTCAGTGACAACAAGCCACTGATTGTCCCCAGCACCCTCGATGCTTCGGCACGTGTTAGGGACAAGCTGTCTGCAGGCGGCTGTGCCAGCACAAGGTGCTGCTGGCTCGCCCTGCAGGGCAGGCTAAACTACTTCTAAACCGTTTGAATACCAAGTGCTGGCTTTGGGCAGGAGGGGTGACAAATGCTACCTGTGGTGAGGAGCAGCCACCCCTCACCACCCATGATCAGGCATCGTCCTCCCAAACAAATCTCACTGTCCTTGGCTCCATTAGCAAAGTTTTGCCTCGTATTTAAATCTAGGCAGGCCACTTGTCAGGCCCAGCGTACTGAACCACGGCCTAGATGGCCAGCTCTGTGCAGTGGAACATGTTTCTTAGGACGTGTTTCCTGGTTGTAAGGCAGCAGTGATGCCATTTGTCTTCAAGACAACAGCCGGGGAAGCTGTTTGTTGGCAGTGCGTCAGCCACACCGAGCACACGTTGATCTCTGAGGACACACTGCTTAGACAGGAGACACTGCCTGGGAGCAGCTGAAGGGCCAGCTGACAGTTTGTAATGCTAACTGCAAGAGGCAAAACAAGCAGTGAAATCAGGACAGCCTGACATATAGCACTGGAAATACATAAGTAGTGACAAATTTAAGCTCAGTGAATCCATTTTTTGAGTGAGGTAAGAATGACTACAGATTGTAACCAGCTTCTCAAACAAGACTGAAATAGAATCGTTTCTTACCTGTATTTTATGGAAGTCTGAAGCTCATGGAGAGCATACAGGTGGAGTGAGTGCTAAACTGGACAGCAGTGCCCCTACTAACAGTGTGCCATTCCCTCTCCTTTCCGTGCTACAGCCCTTTGGAAGATGAGAAAAGGCAATGGGTAAAAAGGGAAGAGTTGAGGACTAGGTTAGTCTCCTCCCACTGCACTGGGATCCTTGCTTATGTAGTGACAGAAAATAACCCACATGTGTTTTCAGAAGTAGAAGCAGAAACTCTCAAACCTCACCAGTGATGGCCAGTCTATTCCCTGAGATTGTTTCCTTGTCATGGGAAATGGGTATAAACCCTGATGCAAGAAGTTTCCAAGTCAGAGCTTTAAAAAAATATTTACTGTATTGGATGCAGTTACCTGTATCAGTAGCCAGTTCTTTGACGCTTCCTAGATTTTTGGCCTTGACATAGTGCATCTGTGATGATTTTGTGTTTTCTACCTCACTGGAATCTGTCAGACAGTTTAAGTAGGCGTGGATAATGTATTGCTTCGAGCTCTGTGAGAGTGGTAGTATTTCACTTATTTTCTCTCTTTTTATTTCCCAATTCCAGCCTGGTTGGGAGGAAAGAATACATTTGGACGGAAGAACGTTTTATATAGACCATAGTAAGTAAGCACTCAGGTACTCAGCAAATAGACAAAGGGAGGTCATAACTATTGAAGTGAAAGCTTTGTAATTTTACTCTTCATTTAGGAAGCCAGGTGTTGATATGTGGAGACATTGATACCAGAGACTTAGTGCCCTCCTACGGTACTGTATATTCACTGGAAGCTTGCTTTTAATTGGCTCATCAAGCTTTGTCCCTCTCTGACTTGTGAAGCATTAACATTTCTTCTTTGTGGTTTCTTTTGTTCTTGTTGATATTTTGGATTCGTTGTCGGTGTTGTTGATGATCCCATGGCTTATCTGCACTTAATAAATTAAAATATACACTAGGAATAGAAAATAAGATGAGAAAAGATCATATAGCCACAACTCCACGCGCAGGCAGTGGAGAAATTAGCACTGATAAGTACTCTTTCCTCTCCTTTAAAGAAGGTCTTGTGGCTGATTCTGATCTTATTTCCTATTTATAGCATGTTAAACTGCACCCAGCCCATTAATATATTCAGTTCTGTTAGTGAAGTTCTAGTGTAAGTGATGTTTCATTGTAGACTTGTCTTATTACAGCATTTCAGAACTACTGTGTGAGTTTTTGTTGTTGTTTGAAAACAAAGCAGCCCAGAAAGGCTGGGCTGTTTCTTCTTTTTTTTTCTTTTTTTTTTTTTTTTTTCTTTTTTTTAAAGACTCCAGCTGGACTTTATAATGAGCTATTTCCACTGATGGCATAGTCTTCACAGAAACAGATAACTCACCAAACCATTAGAAGAGGGTACATAGGCTGTGCAAAACTTAAAGAATTAAACTCAAACTATTGTAGCTATTTGACAGTATTATGTTTTTCAAGTAATACAAATTTTGAAATTGCGTAAATAGTTTTAAATGAAAATTAGATATAATGCTTGTCAAGCACAAGATTAACCTCTTTCAAACGTCAGTCCAGAGTTACTGATTTTTATACCTTCTGTAATTGTTTTTCCCAACAGATATCTGGAAACTTAAATATGGCAAATTACTCTAAACTGCTGCCACTGAAGATTCACAGAATAAAACTGTTTTATTTAAAATACTGCATAACTGTTGAGCCTCCCAACCTCCTTTAAAAAGTGAAATTTTCAGTATCCTAAATCTACTTGAGTACGTGTTAGTCTCTAAAAGTAAATGGAATGTTAAAGATGTAGGTTAATTAGAATTTGCCAAATAATTTATAATAGTTACAAGACTAAATTTATTTGCATCTGCAATCTCTCCTCGTGCCTCTTTTGGTCCGAGTTGTTTTACCTTTCCAGGAAGCAGTTTCTACACAAGTTTAGAGGGTTTGTTGATGCTGCTGCCAGTGTCCAGCAAACGCCCTGGCGGTCTCACTGTGGTGCCCGCCGGCGGGTGGGCTGGGGCGCGGGGGGGGCC